GTAGTTAACCTAATATAGGCGCTTATATTACTCTTTTTATTCTTTAAATATCTAAGGCGTCTCCTTATTATTAGGTTTTTTAATTCTAGGTTATTTCTAGGTAGCTCTATAGGTAATCTTATCTACTCTAAATTCTAAGATTATAATTTATCTATAAATATTATAATTATTAGCTAGATATATAGTAAGTCTATAAATTTAGTACTATTAATATTTTAGATAGCGTAATACTTTAGCCCCTTTAATATACTATCTTAAACAATCCAACGGCGATTATGCAGCCGATTCTAGTAGTATGTAACACTAGATTCTGATGCTAACTTGCCACAAAACCCCTCTAGTGTAGCTAACAGGGGCTAGAGCTTACGTGCTTTACGGGTTGCCTACTTCGGCTAGCGCCTATATTATAAGCCCCTAGTAGCTTATGAATGACGTTAACGTATATCCTAGATAAGTCTAGTTGTGAAACTAGTCGTGTAACACCTAAATAGTAAGGTAGTATTGAAGTTTAATGTTAGTGTGAGAGGAAACGGAGTAGGTTAGCCGCGATAGCTGGAAATGCGGCCGTAAGCCTGCAAGGTTGCTTTTCACCTATTCCTACTACTCATAATGCTGACACTTACTACAGTCAGCTGGCCAACGGGGTACTTAAGGCTTCTTCCTCGCCTTCCTGCAGCATCACAACAAAAGGACCGTCACCTTCCTCTTCCTCTTATAGAGTCTATATGCTGTCTGCATCGTCATTCAAGTCAGAAGTGCCAGCGCCTCTTCCCACTGTCACACGTCCTGCCTCTAGACACTCTTCCTCTAATCACTCTACCTCTGGTCACTCTACCTCTCGATGGACAGCAGCGACATGCAAAATCTTTCTTTGAACAAGGGATCCTCCGGTCACTCATTCGAAACGGGAACTTGCTCTGAGGAGAGTGATTATACCGGGCCTGTAGAAGATAGTAGGGACTCAGATTCAGATGTGACACTCGTCGATGCACTCGACGGTAGTGGCGACGAGGATCTAGCATGGCTCTTGCCCAAGGCGACTCATTCACCTGAGTACTATCTTCAACAGCTAGAGATGTTTGATGAACATGAGTATACGGCACAAGATTACGCCGACAGCACTACTCGCCTGATAGATCGTATGGAAGATCAGTGGAACAAGTAAGTGACCAGTCTCCTAGTCGCTTTTTAACTATGCTGGAATACACGAGGACTAATACAGCATAGATGCTGGACGAACCCTAGGCCAGAACATTTGCGCAACTTCGCGACCGTATCTCTCAAAAGTCTACATTTCTTCTTTAACTGGCTACTTAGTGACGAGCGTGAAGGTAAAAAAGGAAGGCAACTGCGTGGAACCAAGTTCGCTAGTTCCCTTGGGACGTACTGGAAGGTCTTTCGCCTTATGTATGAAAGAGCAACTGATGTAAAGATCGACGCGAAGATAAATCGGAGTATGCACAAGGTATGAAGAGTAAGCTATCTAGTTGTAGTTGCACACGAGTATTTATACCTAACATAATTATTAGGTGCTAAGGAAGCTGGCAAAGGAGCATGGTCTCAAGAAAATAGGTCGAGATAAAGCCTGCATGTATGTTGAGGATCTAGCCAAAGTGCTACAAACGAATTTGACAACGACCGAAAAGCGATATCCCCACGGACGCTATAGGATACAAGCCCAACTCTACCTACAATTAGGTGGGTTTACAGCGAATCGCCCTAGTGCTCTTCTTGGTCTCTGCTATCGGCACATACAGGTCTCGCTGTTACGGGATCCCGAGGATGGCCCTCATCGAGTTATGCTAGAATTCACCTTCGAATTCACCAAGCAGTATCTTGGTATTAAAGACATGTTTGTGAGCACTCTTTCTGACTACTAAATGTATACGACTGCTGACTTTTCTTTAAGGAATACCTTCCCACTCCCTGAAATTATGTACGATGAGACGCTCTCCTTCAGTCCGCACGTCTTCCTCCTTGGACTGCTCTTCTGCGACCGGGCGTTTGCAGCCTACAATCTAGTATCCGCAGAGGACTTAAGCAGGTTAACAATTCCGCCTGGCCGCGACCAGCTACCGCTACGCCTGAATCCGTTATTAGACAACATTCCTGTCTTTCGAAAAGCGGTACGGACTGTGCATGGTTGGGACATTTCTCCTGACGAGCCTCTTCCCTACCCTACCCTGCTGCCGTGGATTCGGACGCTGGGTGAGATTACGGGGTTTGCTCAAGTCACTCGTCCTTATTCGCTAAGATATGCTGGAGGGAAGGCATTTAATGAGAATGGTAAGCCCTGCGATCTGTGCCATGCAAGGTCAGGATGCAGGATACAAAACTAACGTATTACATAGGTAATGTCAGTGAGGCCATGCAGAACCTGATGATGGGGCACGCCAGCATAGGGACATTCTTGAGGCACTACCTCTCACGGCGAATTACGGTTGACACGCAGGCTGTCGTGCGAGGTATTCAGCCCCAGACAGCTCTAATGCGAGCGGCCTGTACCATGAGCCGTTCGATTGATCATCGTCGCCCACGACGACTCACACCAGAACAATCTGCCTCCGTAAACAATGACCCTTTAGTTCGTTCCTTGCTTGACCGACGAGAGCAACTCAAACGCACCATTCCTGATGCAACAAAACATCCTAAGTACAAAGCGCTTGCCTCTAAGATCAACCAGGAGAGACAGCGTCAGCGGCATGCTCTTCTTCAGGCCATCAAGGAACGCTGGGAATTCGAACAGCCTGTGCGTGATGTTGAGCAGCAGCTTGCTGGCGGAAGAATCAAGGACGATCCGGAGCCGGTTCACTATGCTATGCCCCCAGCTCAAGGGGAGCTGGCAGACTCAATCTTATCTCAACCAGGAACTACCATAGAGGAGGAGATTTCCCGGCGTAATAGGGCGATTCGTGCGGTTACTGTGTGTTGTGGTATTGAAGAAGGGGGGATGAATCCTATCCGAAAAGCGGAGCGAAGCAGGAACGCTGCCCTACCCGCCAAGAGCCAAGCAGGATACGAGGAAGAAGCACTAGAGTCAGCTAAAATCTCTGTGTTCACCGAAGAAAGGCCGAGGATATATTTCCTTTGCCTGGGTAACGAAGGGCTGCCGCTAGCACAGCGTATATATGCTTTTCACGCTCCAGGCGATCTTAGTAAGCATTTTAGACGCAAGCACTTAAAACACATTCAGAGTGGGAAAGTTCTGAACTGCAATCTTTGTATGGTGCCTCTGCCAGACAAAATGCACTTGCAGCGACATGCTCAAGAGGTTCACGGAACTGTGTCCCCTAGACATTCTTATAATTGCTGCTAGCACCTGGATTGTCGTCTTGGATTACGAAGGTAAGTCAAGACTTGACACAGTAATTGGGTTCTTCGCAGGTGGCATGAGTTGTTTAATCAAAATGTCGCTAGTGTTGGTAGCCGTGTTGTGTGCTTCCTCAACGAACGGTTAGCTGCATTATTATCGTGTTTGCTAACAATGTGTCGCCACTCTTCCAGCACTTCTGTGAGACAGTTCTCGTTTTCGTGTCTAGACAGGTATATGAACTGTGCTTCCAAGAGGACCTCTCTATCACAGTGAGGTACTTGCTCTATACTTTGGTACTTATATTGGCTTGTTGAGACACACTAGCTTTGGACTTCACATCTTCGCTCCAAGAAATTGATCACGGATCTTCGCAACTAACTCTCCCACTACGCAATGCCGAGGTATGATTAATGCCATCCTAGATGTCTTGTCAGGTGAATAACTCGAAACAGCCTATATAACTTGATAGTTCAATGCGTTCTCAAGCTTTCGCATGAAGCCAAACAGCGCTATACTGTTCAAATCGAAGAGCCAGAACAAGGGGACTCTAAAGTTATACTCATACTTATCGAGAACGAGAGCACTTACTGCTTCCACCTAGCGATCACGGGCACCAATACCGACGTTGAGAACGCAAAGGCGGTCTGTTCCCAGGCCGTCTTATATAGGAGCACGGAGAATGATCCTGATCTATATCACGCTGTTTATGACAGCCTCACGCAGTTGGTTTTCTTCTGCCTGTGCAGCCCCTTAAAGGAAGACATCGAGGACGTGTCCTGTTACTCAATGCACAGAGAAGCAAGTAAGGTGGCATAGTGGCTAAAGACGTACATTGTCTCAAACGCAGAAGTCTTGCGTGGGTAAAATAAGGGTTATAAAGGCTGTATATAGCTTGATCAAATCCGCATTGTTGCTGCATAACTAAGTTAGTTAGGGCCTTTTCTATTTGTCGTGCGCTCTCCGCACTCCAAGCCATTAGGTGATAAGTAAGATCACCGATCAGCGAGCAGCGTTGGTCCGAGTGTCAATGAGCAAGAATATGGGTGTCAGTAGATCCAGGGTCAAAGCTGATTTACAGGCCTTACTTCCTTGAAGCTGTGAAAGCAACCGTGATTCTGGAGCGACCCATCGCATTGTTATAGCAGCGATGCGAATTGTCATAGGTTCCGCGGAGAGATACAGCTGTTCATATACCAAAGGCTGGACTGGTCACGTCTTCCGATAGTGCGCTGCGCCTTTTATACGTCATGCATCATTAGTTGAGTTTAGTAAGGTGATTAGCTTGCCAATAGAACACGTTAGGCAAGGACTGTCTGCTTGGCGGAAGTGAAGAACTTTTGGGTTTATGGAACAAGGATATATTGCATGCCTACTTGCTCACTGTCGCTATAAACCTGTAATAAAGATTCCACCTTTTTCAATCTTGGGAGCCTGGCAATAGAAGGCTCATCCCTCTAAGTCCACATTGCCCCAAATGCTGTTGGATGAGCTCAATACAACGCAGGAACGTCTGCCTACCACCAAGGTAGGCCCCACTCTCTAAATGCTGAGCTAGTCCACTGAGAGTTGTAAATTGCTTTGCTTTTTCTTGCTTTGTTTTAGCCTTGCTGGAGTTGATTGGAAGGGGGTTACGTGGGCAGTGGTAGACCTTATTATAGTGTGTTGGAGAGACTATGTGCTGCTGAAGAGCCTGTATCGTACGAAAAGCTTTGGAGTTCCTCGGACAAAGTGGACAATGGAGTTCAGGCTTAGTTCCGTCAATCACGCGTCCACCTCCAAGCGAGAGACGACTATCCTCAAGCGGCGTCTAATCTACTAGACTACCCTCTACACTACCCTGAGAGTGTGTAGGAGTGACCAGTAGCCAGCCATCTGGACTATCGAGGGACGCTGTTGGCGTTCCGGAACCAGGAGATAAACCATGTAGCGATAAGTAAGTAGAGCTCGAAGGTGTGAGTTTTGGGAGGGTGTGAATCGTGTGATCTTTGTCGTATAGCTGAACGATGTCGTAGATGTCATCGCGGTCCATGCCTGAACAGCACTTTCCACTTTCTAGGTGGTGCAGCAGAGCCGACGGCGCACTGAACTTTCTTTTGCATCCCCCCCCGATAGGGCAACTCAGAGCGCTAATTGGCTTGTGCTTTATCGACTTACAATGCTGTTGAAAAGACTGGAGAGATGGAAAGGTTCGCCGACATATCTTGTATACATGATCGCCCGCACTGACCGTAGTGGCTTTTCCCGCCTTCCTTGCATTGCCTTTGGGCTTTTGCTAAAGCGGCTTCCGATGCGCACGGCTCGCTATGTGTGCGTTTAGGGCATGGATGTCTTTGAAAAATATGTCATAGTTGCAACAACGGTACTCAGAAGCATGGAGCTCCACCTCGCAGTAATTTTTCTAAGCGCTCTGGCTTTCGAAGGGGAGGTCGCATTCTGAACAGAAATAATGCCTAGTAGCAATATAGTGGTCTTTAAAGATATCTAGGCGCTTATAGAGCTTGCCGCAATAGCCACATTTACGAATGGTAAAGTCGTACTGAGCCACTAGAGGATGTCTGCAACTACCTCTGCAGACATGTGAAGGAAAGTGACCTCGCGCTCTTCGATGTTCTTCCAGATCAATCGCATACGTATAGGTGCGGCCACAGAAATATTCAAAAGGATCCGCTATACGAAGCGTTATTTTGGCGATCAGTTCGATAGCTGGTATGTTAGTCACGATCAGGCGCAATGAAAGGGGACTAGGTGATCAAGAGAGTAATAGAAAAACCACAGATATATAGTTGTAACGCGAGCTTTTTATCCACTCCGCGAGTTCGGTTGTTGTGCCATTAGGAGGACTAAGCCCCAGCCCCGCTCCAGCAATAGATAGAAACTTCGTTATGCACCAATAAAACTTGAGAAACAATAGTAAAGACCGATAGAACTTGGTTGACACCAACCAGAACAGTTCACCAATGAGTTGCATCCGCCTTGGCCCGAACTTTGCCTGTGCACCTGCCCCGCACCACGTTGGTAGTACAGTAGTTACACTAATTCCTCACCTCCGCTAAGCAGACGCCCCTGTGTAATGTATTCACCGGCAAGAACCCCGCGCCGCAAGCCTGCAAGGGATCAAATCATCGATCGGTTCGACAACCCCGATTCTAATTAGTTTGGCTACTATGATGATCGAGAACACTAGAAAAAACCTCCAACAAATGGGTTCCGTTTATGTTATTGGGCGCCGCTTTATAGTCAAACGACTCAAACTCTATATGCAACGAGCGTCTCTGTGTGCCGAAAGCCCCTGTGTGCCGAGAATTGCCAATTGGATCGTAACCGCTAGACAGAAGTCCATGATCCTTGCGATCCGATTGGTCATGTTCGGCACACAGAGACGGACGCTAGCTAACGATTTGATTAACTAGTTAGTTATGAGAAACGATTACTAAGATTGACTATGCGCAGGTCCTAGAGCGCTCAAAAGAGGGGGGGACCAAGGCAAGCTAGGCGAGGCAGAGCAGATGTACGAGCGGGCACTACGAGGGTACACACACAATTTATTTACGCCCGGCGGCCGAGCCGAAAGGGCTGCTAACGCTAGTCTAGCTTTACACTTCCTATGCTCAATCTTAGTCTCCCTAGCCCATATGTCTTCTTTGGCC